TTCTTTTGTACTTGTCCTCCTGTGTTTCCTCCTTCTTCCTTCTGTTTTTCCCTTATTGTCCTCCAACTGTGTGTGTCTCTCTCTTTCAGTGGCTAATCACCTTCAAACCTCACGCTGAGTGTTCCAGTGTCCTCTCTCTTGTCTGGCAGCTTCCTCTTGTTTTGTTTGTCCTGTCTGACTGATCAGCTGTGATCAGACCTTCCTTACGAACATCTGCATTTGCGTCGGCATCATGCATTTGAGTCCTCACTTAGGGTGTACCCCTCTCTGATAAATGGAATGAGATTATAGTAACGTGCAACTTTAATGCATTACCTTGAAGCGGATTGAAATTTGGACATATATATGCATTAGTATCAGTGTTTTTTATGCTTTTATCGTTAATGCCAAATAGAGTAAATAAGTATAAGCTTTGACATACAAGCGTGCAAAAAAACATATTTAGTCACACTTGTGTATTCAAGGAAGTATAGTCAAACAAACATGGAGGCAAGCTTTTTGCACACTTGTAGAAACTCTAAATATTCTACTTTTCCCCCCTTGCTGTTCTTTTTCTCACTCATGCATACTTGTTTATGCATTACACATGCACTGAGACACTAACAGGAAAAGCAGATTTTCTTAGTCTTGTTTGTGGCTCTTGCTGTTTGGTTCCATGCTGTGAATGTCAGTGGATTGCCTCAGACTTTAGAAATCAAACTGATGAATTAAAGGAAACCCTTAATGTTATATCATGTATGTCCCTGCTGATAAATGAAGTTGATTTAACCTCATTATGTAGTGACTTATTTCTTTTAAGTGACTTGTGAAACAATTAAGTAGCTGGTCTTGCATAAGTTTGTCTACATGGGATATTATAGCATACAAATGTGTATGCTATTGTTTCCCGACTTCCATTTCAGTTTCAATGTGTATATTTAAAAAGTATGACCAAGGAGTGGGCACCACACTGGTTAACATCCCTGGAAATGCTTAGATGCTAGACAGGAAATTGGGGATGATTGATGAACCTAGGATGTAGCAGGCGTAATGTGAGCTTTATCATGATTGGGCAGCGATGAACTAATTATTTACTCTTTGTACCGATATTGGAAGAGTCATGTGAGTTTGTGCATCCAGTGTACATGTTTTCTATAAACTGGCAGAGGGCTTGTGAACATGTCCCTCAGGGTTTCCTGCGCAGGACTCTGCTGTTGATTTAACCCAGCCAGCCATCCACATCCAGGGGCAGAGCGGTTTTATGAATACTAATTCTCTGTTTAGTATTGCAGCCAGTTTTTGCATAAGAAGAAGCATTAACTGCTCCCGTAAGAGCAGTATGGAGCATTTTCAAGCAAAAATAGAATAGATAGAATAAATGTAAAGGAAAATTACAGTGCAAATGATACCAGAAGAACAACACCCTGAAAGAAATGAAAACAATAATGGAACTTTTCACTTGTTGTGGTGAAATCTAATTACATGTACATGTTGTCTTTCTTCCTAAAGACAGTACTACCCCGATCCCCATCCAGTCCATGGGATCCAGCTGATGAGAGTTGGAAAGCTGCAGCATTACCTGGAAAACATCGAAGATGCTTTGGACACATTCAAACAGGTTTGAAGGACTAAATATCAACAGGAAGGCAACGGGACTTCTTTTACGAACCAAAAACGAAGACCAGTTGCCTTCATGTCAGGCACCTAAGATCGTGTGGAGACATGTAACAGCAGAGATGATCAGGCAGGATTAAAAACATCTTCGGTTCGTTTTACAATAATCTCTAAAGTACTTAATCTTTAAGTAAAATGTCATGAAAACAGTTACTTTCAGTTTCCTTTATAGAATAGATTGTGTAGCATTATGTGATGATCCCGTTTCATTACATCACCATACAAGATTGTTCTGGTACTAACAGGGAAGAAAGCTAGTTATGCTTATGTCTCCTATTCCAGGCTTATGGAATCGTAAAGTTCACCCATGGTGAAGATCACCCATTGACGACCGAACTAACGATGAAGATGAAGGAATGTCACAGTGAGATGGATCATCATTCCTCCAGCAGACGCTAAGACGAAGGCGAAAGAAACGTCTTCATGTAACTGATTTCACTGCCTTACGTTCTTTTTATTCATCAACCTGAATAAACGGATTTGTTATTTTGCCATCCATACCTGACCTTTATTGTCTCAACAGTCTTAAAGTAAGGAACTGTTGTTAAAACAGCTCCAGCAACACTTCAGGCTCCTCTTTATACTTTCTCGTGGCAAATAAAACCTTTTTAGCTTTGGTTTGGTGCAGTTTTACGTTAATCGCTTTCATAAATTCTAGCCATAAAACATCTCATTAATGATATCCAAGAACCTGCTTTTCCCACAATTCCATGAAACGCCAGTGATATTTCTGCAGTTTTGTAGCCAGCCTGTTATCCTGTTTAAATTAGGTTTATGGAAACATTTAAGCACAATTAATCCCATTAATCCTAAAGTTTCTGCATCCTGTCCTTGTTTGAGAACTGGAGAGGAAGAAGCAGAGGGAGGGAGGAAAGCCCCTGTTGGCCCCGGTCTCCTCTGTAATCTGTAGATTCCATTGTGATGAGTGATCCTAGGGTGTGTGTGTGCTGGTTTAGTAAAGTACATACATCACCCTCTGTGCATTTCCATCACACATACTTCCCATGTTAATCCCTGTTTTTGTTTCTCTGCACACACACACACTTTTCCCATGTTAATCCCAAAATTCTGCCATATGCAAACTGATGACACTATGTCCTAGGGGCGTGTGTGCACGAATGGGTGTTTTTCTGCCATCTTTCTGAGTCTTCTCAAAAAACTGAGCTGATTTTTTTCCTTTTGGCTCAAAATATTTTTTGTAATTATAGAAAAAACAAACTGTAGAAACGAGGTATCAACAGATTATTTTTCAACTTTGAAGAGAGAAACGATGCAAGCTTACTGTGTTTCAAAGACTGAGTGGACCCTAGTGGAGTGAATGGCCTGTGGGAGCCGTCTGTGCTGCTGCACCGCTCCTACCTACATTACTCACTTCATTGGTTTTGTTGCTTTCAGTCCTTCACTCGCTCACTTTTCCCATATAACATCCATCAAATGAGATTTAGTGTTTCTTAGCTATAACCTCCTGCCTCTCCCTTTCTGTCACTCACTGTCTCTCTTCCCCATTTATATCTCTCTCTCTCTCCAAAGGCTTTCAAATGAAATTCTCTATTTGCCGGAGTCTCTCTTTCTCTTTCACTGCACGTCTCTGCAGGCAACCTGACCACACAGAAATAAAGAACACCAAATGTTTTTTTTCTTTCACCACCTCAATTCATTCCCCCCTCTACCATTTACTCAGCCCCATTTTTTAATTTTCACATTTTCATTCTCATTTTCAGAGACACTCTATGTCCCTGTTCCTCCCCCTGCACTACCTCACCTTTACTGTCACCTTACTCGCTATCTGCTAATATTATTCATTTCCTCTCGCTCCATCTTAATAACTCTCCTCTCCATAATTTACCTTTTCTTAAAGATACAAAAGTCAGAAGTTTTCCTACCAGAACTGTGGGATTTGTGTCTTATTTGGTTTTGGCTCACTGATGTTTGCTTTTACTCACTTTTGCTTCAGTACTTGATTATATTTAGGTAATTAAAAGCAAAAAAACCAAGCATCAACCTTGCAGCAAAATGATGCTTACCCAGTGTGTTTAAATGAAAGACCAAGAGGTCCTTTAAGTGTCCACATGTGACAAGTTAGTAGTCACGTGTAATTTGGCGATGCTAGCAGCTTTGCCAAAATACAGTATTTGAGGCTGTGAGGATGAGAACGCTGTGGCTTTTTCAGTCCTTTGATTTAAGAGCAGACTTAAATCAAAGGACTGTGAAGCTTAATAGTAACTACCATTACTGCAGTCACCTGAATACACTTAAACCTGTTCTCTGCATGTTGACTAAAAGTTGCACACTTGCTTTTTGAGGATTTTTAGCTATGCTAGAGTCACTATTCTTGCATTCATTGGTTCCCAATTTCTTAGGCTGTGTGTACACTCCACAAAAACCTAAGAGCTACAGCTCAGAGTCGACAGGCCTCAGTTAGCATGTTAAGTTCACAATAGTAAAATTAAAGACTGAACAGGTGTCACTTGTTTGGAAGGTTTGCCACAAGAAAGGTTCTTCTCTCTAAAAACAACAAAAAAAAAATGGCCAGCTTTTGTAAGATTATAATTAATTAACAAACCACTTCTACAACAATGTGCTTAGATGAGACCAAAGTGGACGTGCTGATGGACATAATTCAACGCACTCTTATCAGCTGTCAAGCACGGTGGGCTTATGTTGCAGCTACAAGAGTTGTAGTATTGAGTTGAGCTCTTCTGCAGTTATCTCATAGTATTAGTTACAAATCAACTAAAGGATCCTTCTTTTGCTACACTTTTAAAATTCAGTACACTGTAATCTTATATTGAATAATTTCACCTACTTTATTTCTCTTGTACAGTTTTGGTGCTTCTTCTTGTCACTCCTCTCTTCTTGCATAAAAAGCAGTCCTGTACTCCTCTTCTTACTCACTTGTCTTCCTTTCTTCTTGCATTTCCCCCTTTGCTACCTTTATTCTTCTCTCGTCTCTAATCTATTATTTCTCCTCGCTCCCATTCCTGCCTTCTCCTCCTTCCTGTTCCCTGCCGTGCACTGATGATCAAAGCAGGCTCAACAGGGCATTACTGTATGTCACAGAATAGCTGCCTACAGGGTACTCAAGGTCCACATTTACACATGCTCTGGAAACTAAATGATATTTTTGAGTTGTCCCAGTCCCTTGTTTATGTAAATCTAACAGCCCAATGCAATAACGTACAATGTTACGTGTTCCATGTTACATCATTTAAATTTCTGATGAGTTTGAGTCATAATGCAAAAGATTTTTAGTTCATCAGAAGTGAAACAGCACGCCTTCTGGACATCTGCACACTACTTCGTCTATTCTGTGTGCAAAGAATGAAGCATCAGGTGTGAAACTCTTTTAATACATTCCTTTATTTACATCCCTCCATCTTTTTCTTCCGTCTTTACCATATGTCAGACCAGATTTCACAAAAACGGTAAATCTGCAGTGGACAATATGAGCACAGCGAGACTCCTGTGCACCACTTGTTCCGCATTTACACTGATAACGTGTTGTTTTAAATAGAATTACTGAGGGTATTTAGCATGAATATGTCTCACAACTGGCATTTTTATCAAGAGACTGGAACAGAAAAGTGATTTTTTTTTTTTTTTTTTTAGTTATCCAGAGATCTTCAAACAACTGACCCTGTGTCTTACAACTGAGCAACACAGAAGTTGACTCCTAATGCTAATGATAACATCTGTTTTTGGTAAATGTGGTCTGACCCGGACTTTAACACACAATGCTCCCTAAGATGCCTTGTGTGTGATTTACAGATATCACATTATAATTCTTAAATGTGTCTACAAAATATGCACCAGCACAGCATATTTGTCAGTTTATTCCATAGATCATGTGAAACTTATGTCGTGCCTTACAGAGTGACTTTGCAGATGGAAATCTGTGAATAACTTGATTTAAAACACCCCGCTATTCTTTTAGCTGTAATAGTTTCTAGCAATTTTTGATTATTACTACAATAATAAAGGGATATCCCATTAGATTTGGCAGTAACATATCAAGGAAGAAACCTCCCACATAGCATCTTAAAAAGGATAGTTCAATAGAAGCCATTAGCTCATTTAGAGGTTAGATTTCCCAAAACACTCGCTGCTAATTACACAGGGCTGCAGTTCATAAGACACAGACGTTTCTCTTACAGCAACACAGCTGCCTTCATACTGGAAGGCTTCTGATTTGCATGTAATCAACTAGCATCCCTGTTCTGCATGTGAATGTTTGGGGAACCAAACCCATTGAAATCCTCAAGAGGAACAACAGGAGCAAATGAAACCAACAACAAAAAAAATATCTAAAATAAAAATGATGGCATATATGCTATGTGCACAGTATATATATTTATATATGACATGGGCTCAGCAAAGTATGTACAGTTATTTTTCTTTTTCATCAATGCATAGTAACTTTGTAAGATCATGAGGTGTACATAAATAAGAACATTAAGTAGCAACTCAAATAAATAAACTTTCATTCATGACTTGCACAATGAACACGGGGATAAAAACAGGAAATGATCAGAGATGCTGTTAAAAAACAAAAAAAGCCTCTCAAGTTTGTCAAAAGCGTCTTGCTCTCAGGGGTAATTTCTCACTAGATTATCTCTTGGCTATCCCCGCCAGTGTGCACTGCATGAAATCATTAGCTGATTCAGATCCACGTGAAGATACAAACTTCACTGAATTAACTGTATTTTCTGTTTCAGCGACAGCACGTTCTGGGTTTTTGCTCTTAGTGGAGAAAAAAATCAGCACTACAACGCTTTAGACAAATTACACCAATACGGTGACATCATTTCCACTGCTCTCATGTCGCTCTCCCATAATGCTCTCTGCTCGACAACAAAAGACACGATGACAGTGATGTAGAAGAAGCATTTGAAAGGCGTTGTTTTGTGTTTCAGGGGGAAATGGACTCTTTCGTATATTTATATTTGTACAAACATTTAGATCATAAGTATCTCAAGCACCATAGATAATAATACTAACAAATCTTAGGAGTTGCTATCCATCCAAAAAGTGGAACCAGGCAGAGATCTATGTCTTAAGCTCGTCTCCTCCCTTTTTAATTAGGTTCCTTTAATTTTTTTTATATAATTTAATTGTCCTTTACAATATAGGGGATATTAAAAGTGTTTAAACACCCTATAGCTGTAGTCCCAAAATATTGATTAAATCTACTACCTTGTTTCATTAGAATTAAATGTTAAACACAGTATATTGACGCACCTGCGTGTCCCTCACAATTTATCTATAAATATGTCTTCAGATTTCGATTATCCTGCTCAATGCTACTATCGTACATAGTCTCTACATGGTCCCATTGCACTCAAATAAAAAAAGGATACCTTATTATAAAACACACACAATGACAAATCATTCAGTTTCTTTTAGAATAGAGCAGAACAACACAGATACGAATAACAGACAGACTGCCTGTGAGTCAGGCAGGGAGGCAGGGAGTCAGTCGTTGGTTGTATTTAACACCAGATCAGAGAGAAGTGTTTTCACCTCTACTACCTTCTGACATTTCATAGCTTTGTGAACATTAAAAATCTCTATCGAGGGAAACATCGTGTATGAATGCCCCGGAGGGCCAAGAGTCACATGTGCTCCGTTTGTGAGTAAAGCCAAAGTAAAAACGACACCACAGGATACCAGATTCAGTGTTTTTGTTTAAACACACATAACTTTGTGTCCTGGAAAAATGTTTAATGCTTTTAACTTTAGGTTTTTGGTCCTTCCAAGTTTAATTAAGTTAATCTGTAGTTTTCCTTTAAAGGGGACCTTTTATGCTTTTCCTGTTGGGAATAAGCACGAAGAACTAAAATGGTGTTTCACAGAGGATCAACTGAGAGCACTTCACTGAGGCCCAGTATAAAATAAATAAGGATTATTTTGATCTGTTACTCATGCAAAGCGGCTCCTGTGGAGTCCGAGAGTAAAAATAAAGAGCATAACAGGTCCACTTTAACGTTGTTTCTCTGATCTCTAATCAATGTACCAAAGACCATACATTGAAACACACATTATTAGTTTGTTTATCATATAGTGAAACACTGACCCACAGTAAAACATCACATTTAGAAAAGAAAATGAAAACTGCTTCCAAGGACACTGATCTTTTCTGGATGTTTCTATACTAGCACCATACTTACTTGTACACAAATTTAGAGAGAAGGAGACTTGGTCTTGGTATTGTTGAAATGTTCACAAGGCACTTCTAAATCTTTTCCTTCGTCCTCTTGTCATTCTCTCTCGGTTAGTCTCTTTTAGTCGCTGCACAACAATACCAGGCCACTCTGTAGTCAGCACTCCGTATTTACAGCCAAAGGCTTTTAACCATGTAAAAAATGTTCTTCCAAAATGTGTTAGATGTGAAATTATTCTTCTCTTGCACTTCAACTTCAGCTTTCTCCTTCTTAAAAAATGGCAGTTTTTGTTCAGCTATAGCCTTTTTTTTGCTCTCGGTACATTCTTTCAAAGTTTGACTCACTGTGTGTCACTGCGGTCCAATTATTTTGTTCTCTGGTTACTTGGTTTGACATGTCTTTTTAGACTCTCATACATTATTTGGGCAGCCATATTTTCTCTGATTGAAAGTAGCCCGTCCATTAGATAGTTTCTGAGGTTGTTTCCAAGACCCAGCAAACAAATCTACAAATCTTGTCTCTGTTTTTCTGTTAATTTTTCTCCGTAAATCTTCTTTTGATTTTTCCGGCCACCTGGCCTTCTGCTTACTCACATCTGGACAAGACGCTGGAATAATATGCAGGATCATGCGGTCGGTCTATTCCTGTGTTCATCCTTCCAACTGTCGAGCTGCAGTTAAAGATTTTCTAAATGTGTTTGATTAGTCAGGGGAATGGTCTAGACATTGACATCGTCGAGGCCACTTCTCCGCCTCCATCTGTCTACTGATGCCTTGAGGACACATCAAAGCAGGTGATCATCATAAGATGGGCTTTGCAGAAGTTGACTCTGGTCTCCAGTTTGTCTGTCACTGTTTCCAGAGCCTCCAAATACTCCAATGAGTCCACTTCATAGGCCTGCTGCAGCTCAACTGGACACAAATAGAAAGGTGGAGAAAATACATCATTCCTTGATAAAGTGCTGTTGAATGTGGGTTTAATAATTAAAAAGGTGCCACGGGTTATATTTTACATGTTATTGTTAAAATGGAATAATGATAAATGTCATAATAATAATTTATAACAATTATGATTTAAGAAAAAAGAAGGCGGCCGATGAGTTAATCATCACTCTCTCTACACCGGTCACTGTTGTGAGCACCTCAGACTCCAACATCATAGCTGTAATGGGCTTGATATCAAACAGTGATGGCATTGCCTGCTGGTCTCAGATTATCGAATAATGTAAAGAGAAAAACTTCCAGCTAAATCCCTGCAAGTCCAAGGACCTCATAATGGACTTTACGAGAGAGTAGCAGAGGAAATTTGGCCCTCTCTGCATATTTGGGGCCCATGTGAAGAGGGTAGATAACTTTAAACACGGTAGTGTTTACATCACAAAGGACCTGTCATGGTCCTGACACATGAAATCACTGGTGAAGAAAGCCCATCAGCACCTATAGCATCTCAGGTACCTAAGAGACTTTAAACTCCCACTCAGGGTGCACAGGAACTTCTACACCTGCATCTTGAGTGGGAATATCAACACCTGGATGGTTAGTTGCACCAAGCAGGTGGTCTGTTAGCTGAGAGAATCTTCAAGACCACCCTCCCCCATCTGTGGGACAGCGTAGAATAAGATCTCAGAGGATCAATAGGAACTCCAGCCCTTCTTTTATGGTTGCATGATTCATTATGTTGGTTGAACTTTTATTTCATATACAGCCCAATAGGTACATAACTGAATAATTAAGTCTGATGTAGCCTATTGCTACTTATGTAAAATCTGCATTATTATCCAAGAACTGTTACGATTAGGATTCACATCACAATTCACACATAAATCAGAGATTTATCCATTTTTTCATACCTGAGTTTGTTTGTACTTTGCAAAAAATGTACAAAAAGTGCCTCTGACCATTTATTCAAAGAAATGACAGCTAGCTATCTTAGCGAATTTAAACACAGCTGTATTAAATCACTACTACTTATTGACAATTATTATTATTATTAAATGTGTTTTCTTAAAAAGAAGATTAGGGCATGGCAGCATGCCGATTGTATGCAAAAGCCTGTTTAGATGATTCTGATTTACTAAATTGCACAGTAGTAAGAAAATGTCCTTAAAAGTGCAATTGAGGGCAATTAAGCCACACCCTTACAAAAAAACACAACAAAGCAAAACATTATTTCGTATCGTGAAAGTTTGCCCCATCAGATGCATCAATCTGCAACAACACAATCCTTCCCACAAATGCATTTTTGTGTCTATTGAAGTAAAATCTATAATGCCCAGTCACTTCATATTTTTAATAATGAAATGACAGAATGTATTTGTCTGAAGAATGAACCAGCAGTCATGTAGCACAGCATTAGTAATTAACATGAGTCATGTAAAATATAAAAATATGCATCATAACTTAAACATAATAGACTTATTTATTTCAGAATAATCCTCCACTAAAATCCTAAACAGTTTCTAACCTCCTTTGCTCTCTCACACACAGACCTATATTCCCTGATGTGTCAGAGGTCCACACTTACACTCAGTGGTCCACTTGTGTGGCTCCAGCATCAAGTACTGTTTGGTTTGTTCCAGTTCTTTCTTGAGACACTGGTACTTGGCTCTGACTTCACTGATTCGCTGCTGGCGGTGCTCCAACAGACGAAGCTTGGCACTGACATACACCACCTCCTGACACACAGAGAAGGCAGACAGATAGACACGGATTTTATTTAGCTTTATTTTTTCAGAGGAGCGTGTTGTGAAACACAGGTGGGTCTCCTTCAGCAGCGGCACGCTTAAAATTCACACAGTTAAATACATTCGCACCTCATCGTCTCCCACTGTGGCTGCAGCTGAGCGCCTTCGGACACTGAGCAGCTTTCACTGGAACACGATTGTGGCTTTCTTAAGGTTGCTGCAGGGAAAATCTATATTTCATGCTTTTTCTCCATTTCTCTTTTCCAGTGCTCACAGTGCTCTCTCCTCTGATCACATAAAGGTTTAACAGTGGAAACCCCCCCAAAACCTGCATTCATTTACAACAATTTCCTAAGTTTAACAATTTTATTCTGCAAAGTCCTCAGAATTTAGAATCATTTTTTTAAGTAAGCCAAGATATGTAGATTTATTTAAAAAGTTCACTGTTCACACAGAACTAAATGCTAATGTTGAGCTATTCATGTTCTGAAAATCCTTGCTGTTGTATTTTTTTAAAACCTTTTGGTTTCTTTCCACACTGTCACAACAACACAAATCCTTTTTCATCCATTGCCCAACCACCAGCTTCCTCTTCTGGGTTTCCATTAGCAGCAGTGTCCAACACTTATTGTTTTTTAATGTGCTTCACCACCATTATTCATCAAATCAGTGTCACTGGAATCAAGAGCAATAGCCATCTTGCACTTCTGCTCTCCTTCTCTTCCACTCTTCTAAAGACATCCATTCATCCTTCCCCTTCAGTCAACCATAATAAATCCTAAAAGTTTTTTGCTATTTTCTTCTTCCTCCCTCTTTTACACGTGCTTCCTAGTCAGCCTCCTACATAACTGTAGTCCGGTGGGAACTAGATATTTTTAAAATGTGTCGAAATGAAGCTCTGAACACCACATGTACAAATATCAAGTGGCAACAACCATCGTAACCGAGGATTGCTGAGTGGTGGCTCCAAAAACACTCCCAGTATCAACTTCCATTACAAATTCAATTAAATGTTCTAGTCACTCTGGTGTCATTAGTTCACTCTTCCTAATCAGTGTATTAGTGGCTATTTTTAGGCTTTAGAGAGAAAATGAGAGATACTGTTTGGATGAGGCAAGCCGGAAGTAAAGCTGGAATCCAAGAACCTGTTTTAGTTGAGAACTGGTGCCAAATTGTCTGGTTCATCTGAATAATAAATCACTTCCTGACATGGTTGATCTCATTACTGAGGTTTCAGCAGAACCAAGTCCAATTTAGCCTGTTTTTCTACTCTGATTCTACCCTGTATTCAGAGTCAGTCATAATAAAGTGCTACGTTAATCCTGGAAAGGAGGAACTGACAACCAATGAGATCTGTAGGCAGAACTGATAATGGCATTGACAACAATAAAATCTTGCTTAGATTATGATATGTTGTAATAACGTTTAATTTTCTTTTGTCCTCACTTGCTGGTGGTGTATGCAGAACTTTTCCATAGATGGTTTTGCTTTTCATCAGCGTGTCTTAATCAGTTTTGGGTTCACTGTAATTTTGTCCTGTTCTTTGAAAGTAATACCAGTAGACCCTCAGGGGATTCCACTATCCAAGAAAGTGAAAATATATTTTCTTTATGGTTTTAAATCTTAATGCACAAACTGTCACATTAAGTAAACTGCTTTAAATGTAACTCGTCTGTTAGCTTCTAGCTACACTCGCCTCCTCCACCCTGCTAATATTTGGAGCCTCGCCTGGCTCCAAGGAGACAAGATAGCACCAGACATTAATGTTATTCTCTAGGCTTCAGTTTAGCTCTAATGCAAACTCACTGAGTGATATTATCAATATCCATCTTTACATACGCCACATGTTCCTTTACTAAAATGATATGCTGCTTCCTAAATTTGAAGTTTTGTTTTCCTGCAAACTGCCCAATAACAACGCACCCTGTGATGACACATATATGCCTGAATTTTTTACCTTTTGCCCATCACCCATTTAGATTTTTGCTCAAGGACGTGTTGACATACGGGCAGGAAGAGATAAGGATCAAATCTCCAACCCTGCAATTTGTTGACCTGCTCCACCACTTGACCTACAACAGCTGTGCAGCTCAGGTGTCTTTCCTCCCTCCTCCCTCTCACCTTGCTCCCTCCTTTGTCCTTCCTTTTCTGCAGCCGTTCAACATCATCTATCTCGTACACCTTGATCTCAAAGGTTTCTGTTGTTGCGGTCACTGCCCGGAGGTTTGAGGGTGCAGGTGGCCCAAGTGGCCCGTCGACCCAGCATGCACCAGGGCTGGAGGAGGAGGAAGAAGAGGACGTGATGGCTTGTTTGGAGGAACGGTGAGAAGGCGATGATGAAGAGGAGTCCAAGGTTAGTGCTGGGATCAGACGTCGACGCTGGAGACCTAAAAGAACAAATAAAAAGAAGATTACAGAAAGACTGTTACACACTGATGACAAGAATAGTGAAGTTTTGAGCCAAGGCGATAAACTGTTCATATGAACGGCAGAATAAAAAGTGTCTTTTCTTTACCCTTTTTTAATTCTAATTGAAGAAATATCGCATGTTTGGAGTTATATACATTCTACTTTTTGGTGCATTTTATATAGCATTGAAGTGCCAGGTTATAGAGTGCAAAAAAAGCTGAATATGTTTAAAAAATAACTGATCTGAGCCGATCTGATGCAGTTTTTTCCTAAATATACAAAGTGCCAAAGAATTTTTCAACTCTGCTTGTTTTATCTCATTCATATGCTTAGTTTGCTTGCAGTGCGTTTTACTCTCAAGATCACCGTTAGTTTAGCTCCATAATCCTCAAACAGTGCATCAGTCCCTAGTGGTGTGGCACAGAGCCACCACAGGTGGGGTGTGGATGAACAGAAGAAAAATGCTAAATGAAACTAAGCTAAATGAAAATGGGAAAAACAAATACTGATATTATAGTGCTGAACTTTATTATTCACTAAAATAATTCTAGGGTGTAGTAATACCCAAAAGTGATGAGGTTCAAACCAACTATCAGAATGGGGACAAAGGAGGTCTGAAGTGACTCAGTGAGATCCTGCCAGATGTACTGGTCCTACCTAAGCCTAAGGAGCTGGGAAAGGAAAAAAAAGTCTGGACTTTTTTAAGTTGCTTGAAGACGTTTCACCTCTCATCCGAGAAGCTTCTTCAGTTCTAAGGTCAAATGGTGGAGAGTCCCAGATTTAAGCCCTGTGGGAGTATTCCCCCAAGAGGGACACAAGGTGCATTGTTATTGGGCAGTTTGCAGGAAAACAAAACTTCACATTTAGGAAGCAGCATATCATTTTAGTAAAGGAACATGTGGCATATGCAATAATGGATATTTGTCCCTCTTGGTGGGATACCCCCACAGGGCTTAAATCTGGGACTCTCCACCATTTGACCCTAGAACTGAAGAAGCTTCTCGGATGAGAGGTGAAACGTCTTCAAGTAACTTAAAGAAGTCCAGACGCCTTTTTCTTTCCAAACTTCTTAGACTACGATGACCTGGATGACTGAGAACCTTTAATGGTCCTACTGGAGTTTTCCCATACAACTATCTCTAGAGTTTATAGATAATGGTAAAAAAAAACCAGAACCCACAGAGAAGAGAATAACTGAACTGCTTTGAGCTAATAAGAACGCAGTAACTCAAATAACCAGTTGTTATAACCGATGTATCCAGAAGTGCATGTCCAAATGCACATGTCAAATCCTGAAGCAGATGGCAGAAAACCACACCGGGTGCTACTTCTGTCAGCTAAGAACGGAAAACTGAGGCTGTAAATCACCCAGACTCACAGAAATCGGGCAATAGAAGATCAGAAAACTGCTGCTGGGTCAGAGTTTGGTGTGAACAACATGAAAGCATAGATCCTTCCTGCTGTGCATCAAGGGTTCAAGCTGCTGGTGGTAGTGACAGCCCCCATTTAGTATAACTTAAATGACACAGCCTACCTGACTATTGTAGCTGACCATGTTTATCCCTTTATGATCACACTGTACACTTCTTCTAATAGCTGATTCCAGCAGGATATCACACTACAAAGTTAAAATCATCTTTAATGCGTTTCCTGAACACAACAATGAATTTAGTGTAATCAAGCACCCTTCACGTACACCAGATCTCAAGCTAATTTGAGACGATATCATGTCAATATGAATTAAAATCTGTGAGGAATGTTTCCAGGACCTTGTTGACTCTTCGTCATGAAGAATTAAAAAGCTCTGAAGCCAAAGACAGGCCCAACCCTGTACTAACAATGTGAAACTACAGCAATGAAATGACCAATATTCACCCTCGGGGTCTTCAGACATAGCTATATGATCTTTTTTGATTTAACATATTTGACACATTCTTACATTTCTGTTAAATCATATTTGTTGTGTAGCAATGAAGAAAAAAACTGGGAGACATTACTTGAACTATTTTATAGTACAGCAGTTTAGCTACAAGCTTTAGTCTTACATTGAACTGCAATATATCTGACATCTCTCTGCTAAGAAAAAAGACATCTTTCCAAATTTCAGATTCTTCCTTGAACGCAATAAAACCCCTTAAGTGTCGGTTCACTCAGTGGGCATACCTTTCTTGTTTTGCACAGACATGATCGGTGGGAGAGGGGAGGAAGACAGATAAAAGACTCACTGGAGAGAGACATAAAGGAGGGGACAAAAGAAAACTGTCGCGCGAGACAGAATGTGAAATTGATAATGGAGAAGTGAAGTGAGATAAATAAAAAAGCAGGTAGAGCTCATAGATAATAGCAGCGGGTCAGTCTCTAATCTAACCACTGCGCAACACTGAACACACGTGCGCTTTGCATAGAAATTTCCAGACATGTCAACAGGAATGAGAGTTATCAGATTCACCAGAAAGTCAGTGATAAGGTATGTGTGAGAGAGGGGAGAGGAAGTGCTGATTTTAATAAGGTTGCAGCTGTCTTTTGGTCTCGAAGCAGCGCATAAAGGTCAAGCAGAGACATTTGTATTTCATTAGGAAGCAGCATAGAACGGGACAGAGAAAGATTGAGTCTGCGGGGAGAGGAAGATGCGAGGGAAGCGAGCTGGATGAATGACAGAGAGATGGGGTGAATACGTGGAATATGAGGAGAGAGGTAAGCACATGAATCCAGCCTAATGAAAATCAAGGATAAAAAGAGAGACTCAGCTGGAGATGTAATTAACATTTCAGCTGGATATTGCCTCGGTCCTTTATACACATGCTCTTTCTGCCTTTTTATTATTAAGACTATAATCAGTTTTCTATCACCGGGGCTCAACTGTATCAATCGTTCCTCGCTTACTGGCTTCACCTTGATTCACAACAAACACAGAATAATCCTTCACACCTTTGTGTCATCTTGTGGCACTGTCGTGGCTCTTTGATCCACAGAATCGGTTGTGGTGAAAGCAAAATGAGAGTAAACCCGGAATTTACGCTGCATGGCAGGAGGTGAGACTGCTTCCCGCACACTTGGATGGAAAGGCTAATTCCCTTTCGAATCAATAATTAGACACACACTGGAAGGAGCTGCCTCTCTTCAATCTGATTTTTTATGCACATATCAATCCTCATGCTTAACCAATAGACAGTAATTTGGCAGGCACATTAGCAAGCTCTCTGTGTTCTGTTCTGGTGAATATATATTCATTACAGCCTACACCAGCAGATTCCCTTTTACCATTTCACAGATGACTGGTCAGGGTCACCTTACCTTACCCAGCACCTCCTGTAGCCACAGCTTTCTTCACATTTCCCTTAACTGTTCGCTTCTTTTGTTACAGTGCTTTTCAACATCACAAAGGTGTCTATTTCTATTTCCAGCACTTCTATGTTACTGTTGTTTTGAAAAATATATGATCAAAATTTCACGCCTAAAAATTTGTTTGTAAAAGTTAATATGGTAAAAGTGGGCAAGCATCACACATTGAGGATACATTGAATAGAAATAGTACAGATGTTGGATATATATTTATTCATGTAATTATAAAAACTAGCCATCTGGGTGGTTTTAGCGCAGGGTGTATTTAATTTCATGTTTTTAACGCTTGTGCTTGTGCCAGCTTAATTAGGAGTGCTAAGACACTTCGACTTGTTCAGAAGAAATTACCACTAGTTATGTTGAGGAAAATCCTAAATTTGCCTTCCTATAAAGAATAGCAAGCGGATTATCAGGTTTTAGTTGAGGGGTGAAGATGTTTATAAAACACGATTTTGAAAATTTGTGTCGTGACCTGTGTTGCTCCTGCTCTTCTTGCTGCTTCTGGAGCTCCGTCGGGAGGAGGTGGTGGCTGAGCTGTGCTCACTGAGGGAGTCCTGAGCAGAGGAGGTACTTCCTGTGTTCTCACTGCTGTCTCTCAGCATGCTCTCATACCCACTGCTGCCTCCACTGTGGTAAAACAAAGCCGTCTTCCCCATTGCCGGAGGGAGCTCACCACTCAACACACTGCTGTTGGAGGCATTATGAGATCACAGTTAGAGATGAAGAAAAATACAGAAAAAATACATGTTTTATTTTGTGAAATTTAAGTTTCAAATTCCTCAGAGCCCTAAAGCTTGTACCTGTTGTCACTAGCATGGCCGCTACTGCAGCGGTGTGGTTTTCTGGGAGCTGTAATCTTGCTGTAGGGAGAAGGCAGTGTTTGTACCACTGCTGCCCTCTCCTCTCCCAGGCTATCTCCCCCACCGCCTCCTGCTCCACCTCCTCCTCCACCTCCTCCTCCACTGAGAACAAGGAAATAGGAAGCAGTAAATAACTTCGAACAGATTATTATCTCAATGAACTTAAATGTCACTTTGCCTTACAGTTTGCACCTTACATTATCACGACTTGCCAAAATTACTCTTGCATAATATATGGATCTAATCTTGCATTTTATATTAGCTGTCCTATGAATAAACGAAAAATGCTTCCATAGGAACCACTAAATAGGTGTACAGTATATGTAAATATACTTTTATGATATAAAACTAACAAACCTCGTCCCTCTTTCCTCTGTTGGATCTGTGCCTCCTCCCTGAACATGACTCCTGGAACGGGAGCCAGCACTCCCCTGGAGTAGCTCTGAGATTCGACCGTTGACAGCTCGGAGAGGAAGCTTAGCAGCCAGACTTCCCCCTCGACTTCGACTCAGAGACTGGGTAGACCAGGACCCAGGGGCAGGTCCCTGCTGCTGCACAGGGGCCGGGACTGAACTCTGGGGCTAAAAAGACAAGTAAGGTGGTTTAGGTGGATGGAAGGAGAAATGGAAGCCAACATCCTTTAATTACTTTAAAGCAGCAATCCCAGTCCACGTGGGCCGGTTTCCCTGCAGGTTTTAGATGTGTCCTTGATCCATCACAGCTGATTTAAATGGATAAATTACCTTCTCAACATGTCTTGAAGTTCTCCAGAGGCCTGGTAATGAACTAATCATGTGATTCAGGTGTGTTGACCCAGGGTGAGATCTGAAACCTGCAGGGACACCGGCCCTCGTGGACTGAGATTGGGGACCCTGCTTTAAAGGATGGACGTTAAAGCTAAACACAGTTTGAGGAAGGTCCTTAAATAATTTTAGCTAATTTTGTCTGATGAGCTTGTGGTTTACAGATGTTAAAGAAAGTGAGCACGGATCATTTACTTTGAAGAAATATTTATTCCTACCTTTCCATTAGGAGGAAGGCTGGAGCTCCGGCTGGAGCTTTGGCTTAAAGACTTAGTAGAGAAGCTCAGAGTCTTGGTGCTGGAGGCAGACAGACTCCTGGCCTTGGGACTGCTGGTCATCAGCAGCTTACTAACTGCTGATATCTTTGACTGGCTGCTGGTCTTAGCTGGTGACTGTGGAGCGCTGTTTGGACTGGTACTGCCGCTAAAAAGGCTGCTGGTGTTTCCAGAAGAAGAAGATAGTGATCCAGCACGGTTGAGGCTGCGTCCAGTGCGAGGCATGGTGCTGTCTCCCTTCACTCCCCCTCCCCCTCTAAGACTCTCACCTCTCTCCAAGGAAAAGCAGTCATAATGATGGGAACCACTGTGTGAGCTGTGGACTCGGCCCAGAGAGTTGGTTCTGTTGGCAAGCTGCTCCAACTTGGCACTGAAAAGCCTACTACTGTCTATGCTGGAGCCTCGCTGTCGAGTTACTCCTGCAGGGCCACAGCCAGATACCCCTGCATCATCTGCCGAGTTCCCCTGCGATGAGACTCCATGTGTGGTTTGCTGGAGAGGGCTGGCTGCCCTGTTCCGCTGGTCTAGACTGGACTTTCGTACAGGCGGCAGCGGTGGGATTCCCCCTTTTTTATGAGAGAAAAAGCCCTGCTTTCCATTGGATCCCCAGCGATCAAGTGTGGCACGGGGACTACAAGGAGTTGAAGTGGTGACTCCAAGATTACGGTACTCGCTTCCAATGTCTAAGCCATCATGGCGGTTGACACGGTGCCATCCGCGTGGTAGACTAGCGGTACGGTGGATATCTGGGTTATAAATACTAGTCAAGCATTCACCTTGGGCAACAACAGCCACCATCTCACAACCATCCACCACTCGCTTAAAAGAGTCTGGCGATGACACCACCTCACCACCTGAACTTGAACTGCCACGATCACCACCCCCACCATTTGCCTTATCTATTGAGTGGCCCTTCGAATGCTCTGCCTCCCTCTTCTCCAGTTTCCTTTCACACACTAGTTCCTTGGACTTTCCTTCTTCTGTACCACGTTTCAGCCAGGGGTCTTCAAAGCTCATCTCACTTGAAATAGATGCTATAAATGCTGCACTGGATTTGACTGGATCTTTCATAAAGTTGGCCTTTGTAGGTGAGGAGAGGATGGTGGCTTCCTGGACAACCATGGGTTTGACAGCTGCACATGGGTGAACAAGGATGTTGGTCTTGAAAGGAGACGTGTTGCCAGGTCCTGCCAGAATTTGGATGTTAGTTTTAGCCATGGAAGGAGGCAGTTTTCTCAGCCTTTCTTTAGTTGGAGTACCCTTATCACTCTGGTTCTCTGACAGAACCATTTCTCCTTCCAGACTCCCTCTTCTTGGGGTACCACCATTTTCATAACCATCCAGCGTCTCGATTCCAAAGTTGGGATCAGGATCAGCCAGTGCCTCCCCTTGCTGGCTCTGGGACTGGCTGAAGCTATGAAGAGACTGATCAGCTTCGCTGCCCGCGCTCAGATCACTCACCCAGGAAGAGTTGGGTGAACCACAGTTTGACATTCCTGTGGCTAAGGATTCACCTTCTGTCCGCAGCTTGGCCATTGCCACCTAAAACCAATCAAGTATGACATCTTGAAATCCAGAAACAATTATAAAATGTGGCTGTTAAAGTTTAAATAATGTCAAATCTATTTTATTTATGCAAATTCAAACCAAACGATCAAAGTAGCACTAACCTCTGCCATGGCAACAACATCTGAAACCCCCGAAGATGCTGGAGGACCTACAAGCATGTGATCCTCCACAACTCCATCTAAAGCAGTACAAATGGGTTGAGAGCCAGTAGCGAGGGCAGCTGCAGAGCCACAGTCACTGTTGAAGCTGATGATGCTTACTGGACGACCAGCCAAGCCTTCATTCTCAATGAGAGCAGTAATGTCAAGGTCCTCCTCACCTCCAGTAACCACAGTGTACACCAGTTCATCATCCCCAAGTACAAGAGGTCCAAGTGTTACTGCAGATGCTGCTGAACCTGAGACTCCTGGAAGAAAATATAAAGATAGAAAAAAGCAAAAGTTTATTTCTCAGTTCTTCATGGTCTTTATGTATATGCCGATCAGTTAAAAAAAAAGAAAAGTGGAAAAGAGTCATTCAGTTACGATACAGTGTTATTCTAGGAAATGCTGGGTCCCTACATTCATGTGGACATAACCTTCAGACCCATGACTCCTGCAGACCAAGCACACCTCACATGCAAATATCCATCCCTGATGGCAGTAGCTACCTGCTGCACTGAGAGTTTGAAAAACTCCCTTTGGTCTCCAGAGCTCCACATTCAATCAAGCATTTGAGGGATGCTCCAGAAGTAAACTGATCCTTGAAACCTCTCTGACACAACTCACAATAATCAAGAGATCTCCCGCCAACAATCCAGTTCCAGACACTTTAGAACAACCCCTGAGTCTTAACAGGTTACAGCTGTTTCAACATTTCTGCATGTGGTTTTGATAGAGCGCCTTATTGTCATTAAAACTGCAAGGATTACCCACAATGTACTTTCTCACCACTTTTCCTCGTGTTAAAACAAGCTGTGTTTACTGGAACTTACCATCCTTGCTATCCAACGGTATTGGTGGTACATCATCATCGCAGAGCGTCTCAGCTGAGCCCAGGCTGGCAGATAACGATGGAGTTGGCTCACGGACTTGTGGGCTCATCCCTGCAGGAGAACTCCTGGACAGCAGGGACTCTGTGGAGGAACGACCACTGTCTGCAGCCAAACTGTCTGTAGAATCAGAAACATCTGGCATTGTAATTTATTTTGTTTTCCAAGTGCAGGGAAATTGGCATCACGCTGAGAAGACAAGTTCAAACCAGTGATTATTATGCAGATAAACTGTGTCATACACAGGTGACTCAGCATGTGTCTTTTATGCATCCAGCATATATAAAACAGCAGTAACATTACCCGGGAAGAATTCACCGTTAATGAACGGGGAGATGCACATAAGAACAAATGTTTCTCATCATGATGCTTGAAACATGTCATCAAATGTTTCAAGTATCAGTTGCAAATTGCTTACTGATTTTTCTCAACTCGCCAGTATTTGTAAGACTTCTTGCATTTAAAACGAAAAAAAATTTTTTTTTCCAATATTCTTCTAGTCTTTATCTCAGGTCTTTATCCAAATGGATGCAACATTAAATGGAGGGAACAAATTCACTTTTTTAGTGAAATTGGAGCACTATACAAAAATTATTTTTGTAATCTTAAAAGAAACTCATATACACCCTAAAGGATACCCTAGAACTGACCAGCCAAGAATTCACTGTAGCTTATTTCTGATATTTCTACTTGAAGTAGATGAGTATGATGGGTGGTGACAGGTAGTTGTAATGAAATGTTACTATTTAACCTAAAAAAATCACATTTTTAAAGGAAAATTTAGATTTAAACTGAAACTTAAACTGAGATAAGAAAATAAAAAGACAAAGGAGTGAAATGGAAAAGTAAAAAGAATTAAATGTAATATCCATATATAGCATATATATGTATACATTTAAAAAAAAAAATTAACACAGTTCTAAAGCGTAACTGTGTAAAAGAAAGAAAAGCATACTGTCTGACGTCAAAGCATCCGGGGCCTGGCCTTCCTGAGTGTTTGAGGATACAGGCTGCATTGCTGGAATGACACCCTTTTGGGTATACACTTTGCACCGCTGGGATGGGGATGATGGAGGCCTGAGAAGGAAGATAAAAATGAATTAGATTGCGCAAACTGAATTTTTGGCGCTGAACATTTACATATCAGAGCACTTGAGAGTTCTAGTACATAGCTTTATTTAACACTTTCCAAGTTTTGCTCAAAACAAAATGAAGATTTTTGCCATCAGCACTATGCTTCACTGTATATTTGCTTCACCTGTACTCTGAGGTTTTGGTCAGGCTGGCAATTCCAAGACGTGGTGATCCTAGAGGTCGTGACTTCCCCTCACAATTGCCGCCCGCCACATTCAGATTCTCACGACTGCACAAATGAGAGACAGTAAAAGCAATAAATCATGAATTAAACATATAAACATATTTCCTAAAGGCTAAGGGTAACATATGAAAAAGAGTACTGAATCTAAACCACCTGGTCTTACCTGTCATGTAGGTGGGAGTTCTTGGCTCTGTGCAGTGGGTTAGAGGTGATGCTGCTGCTTCCTGTAATGCTTCTGGTACTCGTAACTGTTGGGCAGCCAGAACTCTGAGTCAAGCTGTGGATCATTGTCTGGGCCAGCTCAGCCTCCTCCACCACCTCCTTGATCTCCTGCAGCTGCTGGTCATTGGTCCTCCTCCTGGACACCTGCACAGCACCTCCTACATCACACGCAGGTTCTAGAAACAGAAGACCCAAAGGTGATTTACATGTTAACATACAGCACATGCAAAATATGAACGGAAGCATCATCATTATTCCTAAAAATAATTGAACCTGTTTTGGCTTCTGTATCCAACACAGCTGGAGGGGCTGGAGCAGGAGCAGCAGCTGGAACAGATGAAGATGGACATGCCTCTTGTTTGACCCCTTGTTTGATAGCTGGAGCCTCTTCAAAGGGAAACTTTGCCACCTGCAAAAATGAACAGAGCGATGGAGAACAGAAGAGTAACAGACTATCATCAAAGGGAAAATTCTGAAATTATGTCGCTTTTATTTCTAAATTACAGTACACCGTTAATCACAACTTCAGTGATGGTGGAAGAGAATAAAAAAGATCACTTGAGCTCCAAACAACCTGCGCTATTGCCGTGCAAATATTGGGGTTCTGTATAAATATTTTCACAATAAGGTAATTTGTGAAAAGTAATTTGAATGTGTTATATCCAAACACAAATGGAAATACACGAGTATTGAAAGGCACAGAAAATTGCCACCACAAACAGCAGCTGTAACAACAATAAAAAAGCCGGACACGCAATGAACAAAATGCTAAGTAGATACAAACAGAACGCTTCTTTTTCATCTGAATAAATTGACAAAAATAGCTATCAAGCTTTCAATAGACCCCCTATTACAGATCCCATCATACTATGTCATCCTATTTGTATCTAAGATTTTTATTTGCACAATCACAACAAAAAAAAGAGCAGAAGACAGTTCTTCACCTCCTCGCTGCCATCGATGCAGTCCAATCTCTCCTGCAGCTCAGCAAAGGTGTTGCACTTCAGGCATTCAGCTCCTTCCTCTGGGACAGGAGCCAGCGGCTGACCAAGTAGAGACTGAGAGGCTTGAGACAAAGGTTGTGAGGGGCCACTGGGCTGCTCGTCTGGCTGAGACTGCACCTGTTATAGAATTATTCTTCATCACAAATATTCTACTTAATAATGCTAAGTGTCTAATCTTTAAATGCACATATTTTCAAATTACCTTGTTCTGTGCCCCTGCTGCCTGATTTTGGCTTTGCTCTGAAGTTTTACCTCGAAGCAACGCAGGAATAATTGGTACAAATTCTGGGGGTCCCTCATTGTCCGTTAGCTCTCTGTCTGACACAGCTGCTCCATTCGGACCCACGTAGATGACTGTGTCGCATGACTGCTCGCTGCTGGAGTATTCGTCAGGGTCACTGGAGAGTCGCAGCAGCGGAAGGTCAGAGTCAGGGTCACCACGGTGATGGAAAGGTCGCAGGTGGGTCGGACGACGCATGCGACCCTCCTCGCAGGAGCTTTCTCCCCCAGAGGAGCTGGATGTGTATTGCTGAGAAGAGCCCAGATAATAAGGAAAGTGGAAGCAGAGAAGAGCGATGAGAGAGAAATGATTTCCTTTTGAGATTTGCAGAGTGAGATTGTCCTTTTTTTCTTTTCCTTTTAATTGACGGTTAGAGACCAGAAAGAAGGAGATGAGGGGATAACTAATATGGACCCAAGGCAGAAGATAAGAACTTCACTTCATTGCAGTTCAGTTTAACTTAATTCCTCCTATTTGTCTAGCATATTAGTAATAGAGTATCTTGTGGCTTGAAATGTCTTCTTTATTTTTAGAGCTGAAGCCCTCATTTTAACCTTTTTTCTTCTGCAGAACACTTTTGACATCTGTGAGCGTAAGAAGTCAATTTGTGTCAGCAGCAAACGGAGACAAGAAGGTAAAATATTTTGTATAACTAGTTTCAACTTCTATAAAAGATTTTCACCTAAACTCCAAAAATTAAAACACTGCAGTGCACTGTCAGGGCAATGTGTGTTTCAGCATAAAATGAACCGTCAAAAAAGTAATTTATGTTTGTTTAAGACATTATACCTGGCACTTTACTTGTCTATATCTGGATAGTTTTATTATTTTAATGAAGCACGAAGAATGAAATAAAACTCACCACTGTGACTTTAGTTTTCTTCTTTTTCATGCGGAGCACCCGGGAAGCAATCTGAATAGTGGAGAGGGTTTCTGAGAAATCTCTAGGTGAGGCAGAGATGTGAGCAATCATGGTGGTCCGGCAGTTCATGTTGCCTAGCGACTCCCTTAGCAACATGGTCAGCTTGCTGTCCCTGGTTACACATATACACCGAGACGTGAGCATTGAAGACATGTTGTAAATACACACAGTCACTTAAAGGTGTGACAAAACTGGTCGATTTTCTCACAAATGCCCACGTATGTTTTGGCTAAAGGGTATTAATAACTCTTCTGCAACATTAACACAACACAAGGCTAACATGAAATTTAAATGAAAAAAGTACTTATAATCATTAGTTATTTTTCCGATTATTAATGCAAAAAGAGACAAACAATTTGCTAATTAAAGCTCACAGTTCACCTATTTAATATTTATCCTCTGACCTGTAGCACTTTTTAATCCATCTTTTGGTGTAGGTTGTGCAGCTTTTGAGATATTTGCTAGATGCAGATAGTACTTATCTTTCAGTTATGAAACACTCAGTTGCATGATCTGGTGACTTCAAAGTATCTGCAAACTTTTTTGTGAGCAGTTTAATATAGGAACTATTTTCTTTCCCTCTTCACTCTCAGTACTTTTGTATGTCACTACTGCTTGATTGATTGATTGATTGATTGATTGATTGATTGATTGATTGATTGATTGATTGATTGATTGATTGATTGATTGATTGATTGATTGATTGATTGGTAATTTATTTCAACATGTGAACAATATACAAGTACATTTAGAAAAGAAATAAGAGAGAAAAAAAACTATACAAATTACATACAAAAAAACATTCTGATTAATTTACATGTTGAAAGGGAGTGGGAAGAAACTGCTTTCTGCTATAGTTTGTGTCCTTGTCTTTATATTCACTCTATTTGTTCTCTTCTGTTTTGCCCTCACACCTAACCAGTCTTGACAGATGTCTGACACTCTTTGAACCCTGTCTCTTCCTGTTAAAAGGGGGTTCTTCTTTCCCAATGTCACCAAGTGTTACTTATATCGCCTTGTTAGACTGATGGTTTTCAATGTGAAATTGTAGCATCTATTAAAAAATAAAACTGTCCGGACAGTTATCTATAATCTAATAACAAAAACGGCAGTCCTGTAACTTTGCAAAAATAAGTGCTTCTTGCTCTGAAAATGAGCCCAAAAGAGCTTCCAGTTCAAAAACTAGAGTTTGTGGACACACACCCTTAATGTTCAACTCCTGTCATACTGTGTCACATGTACATGCACGCTTCACTCTGGATAGCAATACAGTTGATGGGTGTAGTTTAGTGGAAAGAGATGAAGTCCTGCATGAAACTGCTCACAACAGAATTTTCTAATATCTCCAAGACAGTGCAGCTCATCACAAAACAATCTAGATGGATAAGCAGCACTCCAGACCAGTAGTAAAATATATACATTTGATTTTTGGGTGAACAGTCCCTTTAAAAGAGGCGCTCAGGGTATGATAAAGTCTAATATTGGGAGATGGTCTATGTCCCAGAGAGATTAAACGAGCAGATGGGAGAGTAAAACTAGGCTGTGTGTTTAAGAAAAGACTTTCTCCTGGGTGGGCTACTGCAATCATTCATAATGTTTGTGTGTGTGCTGAGGCCTGCAGGCTGACAGTGAGTACAGCTCCTCTGTGGCCCGATACCTCATGCTGCTGTCCCCCTTTTCTAAAAACACAGCCCGCAGTCAAGTCTTGCACACGTATGTGTACATTCACATGCGTGTATGTACACAACAGTGTACATACGCAAAGTACGTACACGCTCCTATCTGACCGCCTCCTCTTTTTCATTATTGCTTTCTTTTTTTCTTTTCTGATTTCTCAGTTTGCTGCCTCGGGCTTCAACAAATCCTCCAGTCTCTGTCTCTCTCTTTCGAGCTATCTCTGCATATCTTCCTGAGATTAATGTAGGTAAACTCATGACTCATGAAGTATTCATTTGGATCTTAATTCAAGTGCTGGGGATGTTGGATTGGGTCTTACCTATCAGCCTGTGCTAGATTTATTACAAGCTTTACCAGGCAGGAACATCGTATATGTAATATGACACTTTCTGTCATCTAAATTCCTGGATCACCACTGTTTCAGAAAATTCATATTAAGGCATTGAATAAGCAGCACTGTGGTACAGCTTTGCTCACAAATTTCTACTTAACTAAACTAATAAACTGAGAAAATCTAGAGTTCTAGTGTCAAAGAGATTTTGGCGAGAAGAGGAAAAAACTGCCCTTTGAGTGTCTTGATTGACAGAGAGACATGAGTGGGAAAGAGAAAACATTTTTTGGACAAGAAGTTGTGCAGCATCCACGATGAGGAAAGGGAATGTTTAGTAAATGTGTTAAGGGTCTTTGCAAGAGCATATTGTGATTGAAACATGGGTCTTTCAAGCATGTTGACTGCTGAATCGTGCCGAGACGCTTGGATTCTTACAGAAGGCAGTGCTGGTTGAACAGTCTGACTCTTTTTGTGAACTGGGAAGCTACAAAGTCCAAAAGTGTACTGATAAATGGTAGATTCACTGGTTACCTAGCAACAGTACTGGAACAGGACTGGGATTATAAAAACAGGATGGGACCCTATCCTGGAAGCAGTGAAGCATTGCAAGACAGGCTCAGCAACTGTGATGAAAGAAAATGAGCAGCCGGACTTTAAGCGTGTTTCGTTTGAGTCGAATATTTTCCCCTCAAAGGAAACAGCCTGCTATATGATTGCTTTGGTTTCTAGGGATGAGAAAGGTGATAGGAAATTCAGCTGATCAATCAGTTTGGTTGTGGGTGAAATACACTCATCAGTCACAACATTAAAACTAGAGAGAGGTGAAGTAAATTATGTTCTTCTGGTGGACCTTGGGATTTGGTAGCAGCCTCCATTAGCAGGGCAATGCACCTAACCACGCCACTGAAACGGTTCAGGATCAGCAGATGGAAAGTGACAGAGTGTGCCGTAGATCCCAGTCTGATCAAGCATCAGAAGGTGGTGCCAGCTGGAACAACTCTACAGGGACCACTGCCAACATCCTGGTACCTGACACAACAGGACTATAGACTGTATAGAAAAGATGGATGTAGCTTCTGGATCTGAAGATTCTGGAGAAGTGCCTGAGGGCAATCAGGTGGGAATTCCTTTAGTTAAAGAAAAAAACACTCTATAAAGAAGTCTAGTCTGTAAATGGTCCTTTGGTTCCTTTGTCTGGGACCTTATTTGGGACTTTCTCAGACATCTAACATGATTTTCACTTTATTTTGTAAAGTGGTCTCCAAAAAATCCAGTGTTACTGACTACCTTATGAGTGTGTTTGCTCATCACGTCCACTTTCAAAGGGTCAATCGGACGAGGGTGAAAACCCTCAGCTCAAGGTTTTAACTCTCTAACTAATTAGTGACGTCACAATGTCTGTGTTCGTCCTTTATATACAGTTTATGCACAAGACACCATTATTTTACCTTATAAATAAATACCTTCATTATATTTTTAATATATATCCTCCACAAGCCCAACTTCAACAGTCTTAGTTCAATCAAAAAAACTCTTACTTCCTGGATTTATAAAAATGTGTCAGTAACACAGCATGGATTGTTAAAAACCAGTCAAATCCCATCACACTCCAAAAGTGTCTGAGTCACCAATGCCAAATCAGAGTCAGCAAAGCTGTGCTTAGAGCTTCAATGCTAAGTAGCAGGTTGTTTTGCAATGTAAATGCAAAAGCTTGTGATTAAATTAACCCAGCATGAGCACAGAGCTACACAGCCTTGAGCAGAGTGGAAGAGCAGAAGGGAAGCAGAGAGAAATTAGAAAAAAGGAGGGCATTTACAGTTTCACATCCCGTATTCTTACTGCCAGAGCAGGACTATGCATCACTTTAGCTGTTATGATTTCTTTTCCCCTGGTTCAAGTATTTTTATTTTCAAACAATTTCTTCTGGCTAGAGTTACTGGCTCCATCATCTTTGCCTTTTCCTCTCTCCTTTGCTGTCATTGGCAGTCAGTTAACCAACAAAATGAATGTGATGAATATGTAACACCAGCTGCTGTTGTTTATGACAGTAAATCCCCCAAACCTGAAGCAACTTATGAAATCTGCTACTATCCTTTCCTTTTTACCTCTCACATCAACATCCTGCTTTCCACCTCAGCCTACCGTTCACTCTTCTCAACAGTTTAGTTCACCAGTTTCTGAATTTATCTTTATTCTCCTCTTAAATTTATGCATTAATTAGTCATACTCCCACTCACGCACACCCACCCATAAACACAAACACACACACCCACACGAACGTACTTATATGGGATGTGTTTGCTTCCATTGACCAGGGCCAGAATCACATTGCCGAGTGCAGACAGCGAAAGGCACAGAGGAGCCGAGCTGGGTGAAGAGTTCTCCCTGCTTTTCCCACCTCCTCCTCCTCCGAGTACTTTAACATCACAGCTGCCCAGGTCCAGCAGGTGGAGGCGACTGCGACCTCCTGACACTAGCAGAAGAGAAAAGATGGCTCAAGATTGAAGGACAACTTAGAGTTGTTAATACAGTATACTGCATCTGTAAGAAATCTATATTAACAGTGACAGTAATAATATGAAGATAAACGTTTCCTAACATCAAACAAATCTTAATATTTGACAAAGATAACCCAAATAAATGCAAAATGTAGTTTTTGAAGGATTATTTAATTTATAAAGTAGAAGAAAAACTATGCAGACCTACCTGGCCCTATTTAAAGTTAGTAAGTATATAAAGTAATTGCCTTCTTGTTAAATCATGAATTAACGGTGATTAACCGCATTTTTGGAAAAGCTGAGCTCAGTTTCTTAGCCACACTCTGGCCAGATTACTTTCTGTTGAATTAAGCAATTACAGAATATGAAGAACATGAAAAGGTTACATGAAAAAAGGCTACAAAATCAACACATGATGCTACAATTTAAAGAAATTCAAGAACAGACGAGAAACTAAGTCACTAACATCTATCAGTCTGGAAAGGGTTAAAAAGGCATTCTTGCGGCTCTGGGACTTCAGTGAACCATAGTGAGAGCTATTATCCACAAATGGAGGAAACTTGGAACAGTGGTGAACTTTCACTGAGGTGGCTGACCTACTAAAATTACTCCAAGATTGCATTGATAACCCAACCAGAAGGTCACAAAATAACACAGAACAACACCTAAAGAACTGCAGGCCTCACTTAGCTCATTTAAGGTCAGTGTTCATGATTCAACAATAAGAAAGAGACTGGGCAAAAATGGCATCCATGGGAGAAAACCACTGCTGACCAATAAAGACATGACTTTCACTTTTTACAAGGTTTACATCCCATTAGATCTGACATAAAACTGATATAGTACTTCATAAGAAGAACATACAATCAAACACGGTGGTGGTAGTGTGATGGTCGGGGGCTGCTTTGTAGCTTCTGGATGTGGATGACTTCGTAATTTGTGGAACAATAAATTCTGCTGTCTACAGGACAACCCTGAAGCTCATGCAGGCCAAAAACTGATGCAGGGTTATGCAGCAGGACAGTAATTTGAAACACTGCAAATCTCGATCTGAGTGGCTCAAAATAATTAAATGAAGGTTTAAAGGTTTAGGGGATAATCACCTTTTCACACAGGACCAGGTAGGTCTGGGTAACATTTCCCCTTAATAAATTAAATCATCGTTTTAAAACTGTATTTTTGCATTTACTTAGGTTATTGTTCTCTAATATTAAATGTGTTTGATTGAAAGAAACATGCAAGTGTAACAAATGTCATTACAGTTATCATTCTTAAGCATTCACATTTCTCTCATACATACACAGATGCACACACATTACAGTTTATTTCATACACACACTTGTGTGTAACATAAATGGCCATAATCAGACATAATTTGGTCAAACATCTCTCAGGCATAAATAAAACCACTCATATGCTATGTGATTTGTTATAAAGACCAAAAATAACTGTTGGAAATGACTTTGATTAATATATTAAGGGATCGTGCGTTCAGTAAAAGGTGCATGTGCATCTCTGTTGCTGCAGTTTATTTGTAGCAACCATAATAGGAAGCATTTAGATCGATCTGCATATTGATCTGTCCTTCATTGTTCACCCCTTACTTTGGTCTCCAGTGTTCCACAATTTATTCATAGCAAACAATATGTTTCTGTCTGCTTTTATCCTACTGTGATTATCATAGTCACAACAAACAACAACTATTTTCCTGCAAAGGTGAGCGCAGTAGAAGTAATCGTTAAATGTTGCTATTGAGACATTTAATTGTTGCACCAGTAATAACAGTTAGGAACATCGGGGTTTAAGCATGCACTACTTACTTCCTCCTTTTCCCGTCTTTTCCATGCGATACTGATATATGTGTAATGTAAAGAGCATATGTGAATTCCTGTGCTCTTCTTCAGTGGTGTTGGAGCGTTGGCTACTATGGCGAGCTGCTATGGCTGCATCCAGGAACCAGGCTGCCTTTTCTGGTGTTGGAGCACGGAGCTCAGACTGGTTCTGTAGCTGGAAGAGTTTGGGGAAGAAAATAAAGCATAAGAATATTGCACTTTTATAGACGTGATAAGGAAGCAACCGTGAGTAGCCAGAGGACAGGCAGTCAGACATGCCGAAAGATACCACTTCACCTTAGCTTGAGGGATTTGGTTTACCGAGGGAGAAGTGTTTAAACGCTGATAATATTGTGTACTGTGAGGATTCAGCGTGGCGGAAGACTGATTGGCATATTTTTAATAAATCATTTCTAATTTGTCTGCAGGTATGTGAGAAATAGAGGGAAGCAGACGTGAGTAATAGAGAGAGAGGAGGGAAGTGAGAGTGTGTGTGTGTGGTACTGCAGGATATCATTACTGATGAGATTATGTCAGATTAGTTAAGGATTACACAGATGTGTTTGTATCAGACCCTCTAATCCTATAAACATACAGTATGACTGAACACACACACACATATACGGCTGCTAAGCCATTGTCGCTCATTTGTTTTTGATGTTCTTTTTACATTGACACGTTACTGAGACTACTGCTGTGCAGATACCTGCAAAGGGTGTTAATAATAGTGATGTTCATTAGAATTTTATTTACATAAGTCTTTTGTTTTCTGAATCTTGGTTATTAAAGGTGTTTGTTTAGCTGCATGTAATTTTGAAAAGTCACTTAAAAAAACAAAAGTTTGAATAGACAATGAGCCTTTTGAGAGTTCTGGTTATTTTTCCAGTTTTGTTTGTGTCAAGTGTTTTTCTCTTGGCATCGTTTTCACAATCAGGTGAATGAATCATCCGACTGTTTCTGAGTCATCTCTTTAAAAATACCTCATTTTGGCATTGTTGGATAAAAACAGGATGCTGAACGATCAAAGTCCCTTTTTTCATTTGATGCACATCCACAGTACTGCCAGATGGACTCAAGAACCCCATCATCAATAACATCGCCCATATTCAAATGTATCCATATAAAACAATTTTTATGTTCATTTATCAGTTGTGGTTATTGAGCTTAATGTAAATGATACTAGATCATCTCCTCCAAGACGAGTGTCTGTGGGTTCACATGCAAGCCAAGACTGCAGAGAGCTGTTTGATGTGAAAACCCATTTATACAGAGTCTGAATCTGTAAGGTTTAAATCCACAGGTACAAGTGACATGAACCAGTTCCAAGGTAAGCCGTGATGTCTTTAATTGTGTGTTTGTGCATGTGTACCTGCATGCCACAAATGGGGTCCTCACACAGGTAGACCCCAGGTGACTGCCCATCCTGTAAGCTGCCTGTAGCCACTTCAGATAACAAGTCTTTAAGGTTCTCCTCTTTTCCCCAAACCTGCACAAAAGCACAGATTATTTCAACAACAGTAGCTTCCTCATTTTATTTTCTCAGTTTTCTTAACATCTGTCTAGGACTAAATCTGGCCAGAAGAATCTTAAATTAAAATTTTACTTCACTGAGAGAAGACAGATACTAAAGATAGTTGACAGCTACTGCCAGTGCTTTTTAGAGACTATCAGTGCCCTGATTTGTCAAATGTCTGCATCAGGATTTGCACTCGTTTTTTTCTGCAGGGAATGTTTCAAATTAAGGTTTCATTGCGATCACTGACCTCAACTGCAGAGACGCGGACGGAGAAGCGTGCACCAGTTTTCTCTTTTCGCTCATTGATGAGCTTAAACAACCAGGAAATGGCACAGGGGATTATACCCAGAGTCTGAAGAGAGTCATCGTGGCCGATCATCGTGTAAGATTTACCTGAATGAGAAAGCCAGAAAGACAATGGTGAACGGGAAATAAGCTGAAGATCTATCAAAAAGAACATCAACAGAAATAAGTGTGAATAGATGTGTGTGTGAAATGCACGTGTCTGTCCCTTTCAGTCACAAGATGATGATTATCCCTTTCCCACACCTGCTCCGGCTGTCAGAAGTTGGAGATCAAACACACACCTAAACAAAGCCATATGTCACACCTAACAATCACACCGGTGGGAACACTTGCACGAAAGACAGACGACATCAAAAGCCTGACTCCTGTGATGCAGCGCAGAGAAATGTGTCTGATTTGTTCCGAGAAAGGACGGAGGGGAAGTTGTCATCTACAATGTAATTTTACATTGTTCTGCACTCAGTGTTTCCTGGAGCATCTAGACTACTGTCAAAAATGATGATTTGTCCCAAAAATGTGATAAAAAATACAACAAAGAGAGTTGTATTAAGTATCCGAAAGCTGGTGCTGTTGTAGTAGTATTTATAATTCACAATGCTCAGTTTTCCAGATAAAACATAAAGAAAGCTTTTAAACACATGTTAAAGATTATATAAAATGTTGCCATCCGCTATGTTAAAGAGCTCTTTTAAAGCAACAGTGGGTCATTTACTTTGATTTATCAGATTTACCAGTTGATTTCTTTTCATTTAGCAGATCAGATGGATTCCCTGACTCATAACGGCTCTGTGTAGTACCACTAACATAACCACAGAGCACTTGAACAACCACCCTTTCTCTTTTTTGCCTTTAAAGCCTGTGTGCAAGTGACAAAGAACACATTAAAACACACATCTGTGGGAGTTTATATGTGGCTCTATAATGCGTCCTTCTGTTCTGACTACTGAAAACTGCAAATTGTACTCATATAGCTGCCTACTCCACTGACTTATCATAATGCGTTTGTATCCACGTATGTGCAGTTTATGCATATTTCTGTGAATTGGTCTCATCAGGTTAATATACCTTTGCTATCAGAGAGAAAGTGAATATGTGTGAGGGAACATGGCAGAGCTGTTTCAGGAGTTCAAAGACATCCACACACGAGCTTACGCAGACACGCGCATTCATCATTACTAAGGACGGACACTACTCTAATAACGATAGCAAAATCCATCACACATGACTCAAAGCAAGAGTATTCAATTCCTGAAGTTCATCCATTTGTTCAGGATCATTTAGACTTTTATTTAATTTTTCCTTTTTAATGAATTCCCTTTTGCTCACTGCAAAAATGTGCATGAGTGTGTAGTAGCTGGTCTGTGCCAGAATCCCCACATGTGTCTACAGCCAAGGGCCACAGAGCCGAAGGTAAATGCTCGTTGTGTTACTTTCCCCATTTTAATTAGTAAAAGGGTAATGCCATTATAATGCAGTCTCATTAAAATCCATGGCCTTAGGTGAGCTGGATCACAAAGAATTAACTCATCTGCTGCTACAGCAGCAGCCGTTTGAACATATACGAGTGAGGTCACGGCATTAATATAGCAGTAAAACTGATTGAGAAATTGATTTCAATCAAATAAAAGAGTTTGCAGTGTTATTAACATAATCAAACACCGGCAGCAGGATGTTAGCTTCAGTCTTAGCCATATTACACAGGATGAATCACAAGCATCATAAATCACGAGACAGTCTGTATTTTGCATGTCAATATTTGACAGCTGAATGAAAATATGTATTCATGTTAAAATGACAAACGTGGATCTAGACAAGCTGTCGTATGTGCACTGTGCACCATGTTGTTTCTGTCCTGGGAGTGTGACGATTACATGTGCATCTGTTTGATTGATCTGTCCTGGATCCTATTTCTGCTATCATTCTGTGCTGACTGTGTAAACCCTAGTGGTGGTTTTCACATTTTTTATGTGCATGATCTATTTTTAATGCTATTTCATTAGATAGGATATTGGGCCACCGGGAGTTGTGATGGACTGCTCAAAGATGTCCGTATAGTGACCATTCTTACATTCACCATAAACAAAAAGTGGTAAAATATGAAGAAGTAGAGTGTTGAATATATTTGTTTTGCAATGACATCTTGTATAGTCAGACCTATTCTGTCATGTGTTTAAGAAGAAAACAGGAAGTCAGCAGCTCATCATCTGAGTCACAACCTTTAGATCATGATGACGCTTCATCAAATTTGTATATACACTTGATTTTTTAAAGTCTCTCCAACTTTATTTTCTTAATTGAATTCCTACTAGCTTCCATTAAGTAGTTCCTGTGGTCCATATAAAGACATTGACAACACTGTTCACGCCATATTTGCAGCAAGGGAACCAATCAACCACCATCAATAGAAAAAAAAGACAAATTAAAAGTTATTGAAATATTTACTGTATTTTGCCATTTTAAAGAAAGCGATCGTTTGCCCATTCTCCACATCCTCACCAAGTTTTATGAAATTCAGCTGGGTAGTGTTTACATAATCTTGCTGACTGACTGTGGTTTGAGTTGAGCTGACTTTTTCTTCAGATTTGGCAAGATTTTGCTTCACAGCAACCAAACAGCGGTTTACATGTTGATCTTTGCACTGCAGCGCCAGTCGAAGTGTCACATCTCTGCTGTTGTCATGCTCTGCAGTTCAAGTAGACTTAGAAACTCAAGCTGAAGGCTCACAAACTGAGAAGGGGAAATGCTGCTTGTGTTTACAAGGACAAACACAGCAGCGGCTGACCCACAGTCGATGAAGCCTTATTCGTGTGTGTGTCTGCGTGTTTGTGGTGGGTCTTTGTTTGTCTCAGTGTATGTCTGGGATCAGACATGTTGCACAATGCAGTGAGGGGCCTTGACCCTTTTTAAGAGAACTTCTCTGACAACCAGCTTCAGAAGGATTAGAGGGAGAAAAGGACAGAAACACAGACAGAGCAGACCGAGAATGCTTTCAGCTTCAGCAGACACTAATCCTCTTCTTTCTCTCTCTGATAGATGAGGGCTAGTGGAGCGACGGCCAAGTGAAGAGCCGACACACCGATGGTCACACTCACTAAAGAAGACTCACGAGCCAAGCTCTGATTTTGTAGTTTTTGTGTGTGTGTGCGTGTGTGTGTGTGTGTGTGTGTGCGTGTGTGAGCGTTTTACCCAGTTTAGAGTGTCCAAAGCAGAAGACACAGCCATCTGCTCCGTTCACCACCGACTGAATGACCTCAGCAACTGTTCCTGCACACACTTCCGCCTAACGCAGGAAGACAGAGGAATAAACAGGGTCAAGTAAATCAGAAATACATTCAATTTTAGACAAACATTATTCACACTCGCGCTGGAGCTAGGATTCTGCTGTTTTGTTTTGATTTTTTAAACATCTGACTGTTGGTGTGGAGGAGATGACGGGCAACTTCCCTGTAATTGTCAGTATTACTGTGTTCTGGTTCTATAAATGTCTTAAAGAATCAGCATTTTCTTTTAAGCTTATCTCACTGGTTTATCCAGGGGAACACATCTCGCCTAGATTCATGCAAATGCATATACCGACCAAGCAGCGACCTCTGTGGCTCAAAAGTAAAGGTAATGTGCAAGTCAAAGACTTCTTTCAGATCATGTGTCTCAGTCCTACCTTATGCTTAGCATCCTCCTCTGTCACACCAACCAACTCTGCATGACCTCCTTCTCTACATCCATGTCACCTTTTTGGTCTTCCTCTTTTCCTCCTGCTTGGCAGCTCCATTTTTAACATCCTTTTTCCAAAATATCCACTATCCCTCTTCTGCCTGACTCTCTAACTTCTTCTCCAAAGCATCTGAGCTGTGCCTCCTCATTTTTAATCTCATCCATCTTAGTGAGTTCTGACTCCTGTCAGTTTGTTACTGCCACCGTCTCCAAACCATACATCATAGCGGGTCTCAGTGCCTTCTTGTAAAGCTTCCCTTTCACTCCTGCTGCTGTCATTCTGTCACAAATCACCCGATACTTGTCTTCATCCACTCCACTCTGCCTGCACTCTCTTCTTCACTCTCTTGTGCACTGTCCGTTTCTTTGGATCATTGATTCCAGGTGTTTAAACTTGTCCCCACTTACTACCTCTATTCTTTGCAACTTCACTGTTTTAGTCTCCAGACTTCTCTGTTAAATCCCCCAGCTCACATCCTCATTACACTGTTTGTGAAACTGTTGCTTTTTAGAGCATTTTAATGCAAAGATGTGACAAATAAAATAGCAGCTATGGTAGAGCCTGTCCAAGAAGCTCATAATCCAGTTTTTGAAAAGAAATTTCTGTATTTTATTAGTCTGTTACTAACAACAGTGTTTGTTTGCATTGCAACCGCACATTTTATCTACTAGCATGGTATCCATTTCTAAACAAAATTTAAGAAGAGCGTGAAGTTCATAATTTTGTTTTTATTTATAGTCATTTTACCAGACTTTGTCACATAAAATGTCTCTGACCTGTGATGCATCAGGAGGGAACGCTGCATCAAAAGTGAACATCTTTGGTGGGACCTGATTGGCTCCGGCCCTTTTCTGAGAGGCAGCACTTTGCGTCTGATTTGCTGATGGGTCCATGATGGTGATTTGTTTCTTCCTGGGATCCACTTTGAGAAAGGAACTGGACTCGGCTGCATCAGACTGAGACACCGGGCAAACTCTCACCATCACTTTCACCTGAGGGTAAGACAATAAGCGAAAACAGAGGTTGTTTTTTAGACAGGAGGCTAAAGGTAAATGCAGGATTATCAGTCAAAGCTTGATTCCCACCGTGCGTTTGGGAATCAGCTTGTTTGTTTGCAATTTTTCTGCAGCGGTGGATTTCTTTTGATCCAACAAAAACAAGAAAGTCAGCAGGGCACTCAGACAAACAGCAGTGTGAAAGTACATTGATACAGTCACACTTTCTGAGATAGTTTAGAAAACTTTGCCAGTGTCTGAGATCACTTGTCATGAAACATGAAGCAGTCTGACAAGCTTCTGTTGAGTTTCGGGTTCTCCTCATGCCAACCACCCATTTCTATTTCACTTTTAAAGCATGAACACTTTTTCCCCGCTAAAAAAATCTGCCTGTGTCAAAGCCATGAGCAGACCTTGTATGTATTACTGTGAAGTAGAGTTGCTGGAAGACATCTTCATATTAGCTGCAAACGACACAGAGCCACAAAACCAGAGTCACAAAAATTCCGCTTTTTAGTTCTGCGCTTATACAAGTCGTAACATGCTCTCTCTCCCTCTCATCACTTTACTCCCTCTAAGTACTTTTACCTCCCTCATCCCTTCCCCTCCTTTACCTGTCACTCTTTCGCTATCTCTTTCTCCTTCTATCCTAAATCCCTTCCTTTTTTCTCTCTGTTCACACCTCTTCTCTACTTCCACTTCACTGCCCCACATCAAAAGCCTGAATTGCAGGAATTCTATTTTAGCTTTCACTCCTCCTTTCCTTCGTCCTTTCCTCCCACTCCTGTCACAAACTGTTAGCAGCCGCAATTTGCCGCCTGGCAGCTGTTGTTGTTTTCTGTGATATCAGCGGCTGCAAAACGCAGCGTCATCGAATCTGACTGAGCTCCAGAACATTTTAACATATAAACAGCCCTGGTCTCTGTCGGTAAAAGGTGTTTTCAAGTTTGAAATACTTCCCAGCAGTTTATTGTTGCTCATCTTCTCCTTCCATTCCTCATCTGTGTGAATTTGTCTTTGTCTCTCTTTCTTGTTTGATGTCTCGCTGACTATATCGCTCTCTGATTCAGCCCGTCTGTCTTCCTCTTTTCATGTCTGTCACTAAATCTTCCTCCCTGCGATGCAGTACAGGATTATCCTGAAGATTTACATCGCACTTCTCCTTTGACAATCGGGAGAGAGACTCGGTTGAAGCGGATGATTGGCACTGGGTGTCAGGTGCTCTTATGACTCAGTGTTAACCACACCAACTGTCTCAGCGGGTGATAGGAGCCAACCTGATTATTAAATGCATTTGATATTTTCACTGTGACATTGGATGAACTGTGTGGGAAGTGTGTGCCATCCTTAATGTCTTATATCTATTCAAATATCACAGATGTTTTGTGTCTCTGTTGCTTTGATACAGAATTTATGTCTCGGTCAATGTCAGATGCCTTTCATTGAACTGGTAGTACAAGCTGCCTGGAATTCTTCCTGTACCTTAAAATGTAAGTGTGAAAAATGAGAACTATTTAGTTTAGATATAATCAGTTATATTAGTGTGAATGTTACATTTTGATATTCTTGGTAGCCGGTGATTGGTCCGCCAGAGCCTCCACTCCTGGCTGCCGCCTGGCACACAATGCACCCGACCCCCACTGCGCCACGTGTGGGTGGTGGGCCTGCAGGAGGATGGGCCTATGTCCCTTTTTTGGGCCCGGCCACTAGACGCTTGTTTCCGGGCCCCCTCCCCGGGCCTGGCTCCAGGGCGGGGCCCCGGTAACCCTACTTTGGGTAGGGTGAACTGTTCGCTTGGTGTTCTGCTCATAGGGGTCTTCTGAATGTTTCTTTGTCTGGTCCCTCACCCAGGACCAATTTGCAATGGGACACCCTACCAGGGAGCAGAAGCCCCCGGACAACATAGCCACCGGAATCTCTGGGACACACAAACCCCTCCGCCACAATGAGGTAGCGATTCCATCAAAAGGAGCCAGTTCAGGTGGTTTGGGCATCTGACAAGGATGCCTCCTGGGCACCTCCTGGGTGAGGTGTTCTGGGAATGTCCCACCGGGAGGAGGCCCCAGGGCAGACCCGCTGGAGACATTATATCTCTCGGCTGACCTGGGAACACCTTGGTGTTCCCCCGGACAAGCTGGAGGAGGTGGCTGGGGAGAGAAAGGTCTGGGCTTTTCTGCTTGGGCTGCTGCCCCCGCGACCCGGCCCCAGATAAGCACAGATAAGCCCAGATAAGCCCCAGATAAGCACAAGAAGATGGATGGATGTTACATTTTGTTCATTTGCAGTCATTCTCTTCACAACATGTTAATAGTGTTAATAGACCAAGTCACAGTATCAGAAATTTCCAAAAACCTTGGACACCGGGACGGTTTATGGAAAACGGCATGACAGATGCAGCAAACATCAGATCAGCTAATGACAGGCAGAATCTGAGAGAAACTACATAAATTCATCATTAATTTTGGCCTCCAAGTCTCATCTGAGAAGCAGCTACTGGTTAAGTCAAGAACTGGATTCAAACACTGAAACAGGATTAAGCAACTTCACCCCCCGTGCAATATAACAGGTATAGTTACGTCCTTTTGAACAATGAAACTTTTTTGTTTTTGGGTCTTTTTGTTATTTGCCTCTTTACACCAACACAGTGGATTTTATATCAAACAAACAGGAGACGGTTAAAGTGCAGACTTTCAGCTGTACATCAAGGTAATACAAATATAACACATGAATTACATGCAATGGGGCAGAGTGTGAGTATTTCAACACCTGATGTCATAAGCTGAGAATTTGCAGGACAATATCAATTATATTATGATAATAGTTACAAAGTGTGCTAAGCTTTCAGTACTTCATATTGCACTGAGGCACTTAGTAAGAAAAAAAAATTCAGTGAACTCTGTTTTTATGTGTGTCATACCCTGTCATATTTTATATCTACGAGGCACAAAGGTGCCGGACACATGAAAAAGATGTGGCTCCTGTGAGGGAGAGAGAGCAGGAGAGAAATCATTTGTCTGTTTGTGCTTGTTAGCACAGATGAATCATCGCCTGAAGTGTGCTTTCAGTTAAACGTAACCATGGGATTACCCATCACACAGTAATCCCCAAAACTCCAAATCCTGCTGAGTATTAGCTTACTACAAGTAAAGTCAACAATGCATTTATGTGCGGTGCTTAAACAACTACCAGGTTCATGCCACAGGTTCTCTAAATTAACAGTGTTGGTAATTACCAAACTATATATATATATAAATATATTTTTTTACTATAATGGTAACCCCAGCAGTATGCACAAGGTCTTTAGTTGGGCAGCTGTGGCTCAGGAGGTAGAACAGGTTGTTTACCAATCAGAAGCAGGATAGATAGATTCCCTGGCCACTCCAGTCTGAATGTCAACGTATATTTAGGTAAGACACTGAACCTTAAAAAGGAATTCTAGACAAAGAGGTTAGTTAGGTTTGTTTTCAGTTTGTTATTTGCCTAACAAGTAATATAATTTTTAACAGATTTCTAAAAATATGTGGCGGGGCGTGGTCTGCAGTGCCACTGCAGGGGAGCGGACGCACCTGAGCGGCATCCGCAATCATGCCGGGGTCATGCCGCAATCGCCGGGTTTAAAGTGTGAACTGGACCCTGTCATGGCGTTGTTGGTAGTGGAGTGCTCAGCTGCGAGCTGAAAAGCTGCAGCTGTGTGTGTAGCGTGACAGCAACCGTTAGAGTTAATAAAAGTATGCTGAAAAGCACGAAACCTTCATCATGCCATGGCTTTGTTTCATATAAAAATTGTAATTTTCTGCCAGGTGGTCTAATAAGTGTGTTAGCACGCTAAGTAGGGGTCCCTGGCTGTGAAAATTTCAAAAAATTAAAAAATTTCAAGTGAAAATTGTCATCCATTACATTTCTGTGCTGTGAGATAATATCAACCTTACCTATATAAAGTAAATTTTCTGCCAAGGGAGGTTATTTCTGCTGCTATCATTTTTTTAAATAATAACTTTTAGCCAAGGGTGAAAGAGCTAAAAGTAATCAGAACAAAGTCATGTTAGACTGAACAAACCCACCCCGATTTATTAAAAATAAAAGCACGCTGCCAGGCTTTCTCTCGGTTGCATCACCAAATGACCACAGACCTTTTAAGAGTCGGTTCAACCAATTTTGTGAGTGTCGATCAAAGAGTGTGGATGTTACCAGCTTTCTCATATGAAGTTAATAGCACATGTGGTTAAACCTTAAAGCCTGTCTATAGGTGAGGGCGTGAAATGAAGCGAGATACCAAATGCAATAAATGTGTAACGTTTGATGACCTTAAGAAAACTGAACATACTGAGCCCTAAAAGTTGGGTTAATGTTTGTGCCAAAAAAATCAAATAAAAGAAATAAATAAACATCTATACCTACAACACACACAAGCTCAATCACTCCCACACAGTCTAAGCTTCAGTACTAAGCCCTCTCCTGACCCCAATAAAAGAGCCCATCACATGAGTAAGAGCCTAGGGGGAAGGATTTCACCAACGCATGCTTTACAAGGCGTAACTCATAAAGTCTTCCCCCCTAAGAGGCCATTTCCTCCTCATGTCCAAGAGTGTGGAAGGTGTTCATGTATGCGTGTATGTGTGTGAGACTGAGGTATAAGTGGGGCCAAAATGCTGTTCCTATATGTTTTTCAAAAGATTAAATGAAATCGCAAGACCCACCAAGGGGCCATTAACCTCACTTACCTTTTATACCAACAATAAAAAGCTCTACAGTAATGATGGTGAACATCAAGAGGGAAACTATTTCTAAGTAAAATATAAAAAATATACCACAATAATTAAGGTCCCTTTGTGCCACTACATACAGTGTAGTTCAACTTTTAATCACCAGCTTTGTTTTTCAGAAACATTTGGGCTCAGCACTCAGTTTAAGGCATTTAATCTGAGATGAGATCTGTAGTGAAATCATTTGTCTGCATGTTTTATAAAAACCCACACCCACAATAATCTCAGAGGATC